CTGGATGAAGGGTGGGGGCCCAGGATGCAGCTGGATGAAGGGTGGGGACCCAGGATGCAGCTGGATGAAGGGTGGGGAGCCAGTTTTAGGTGACGGCACCATCCACGGGTTTCCATCCGACCTCGGATTCACCCAGGAAAGAATTTCAGCTAAAAAACAACGAGATCAAACAATAAAATATAAAATATAATAATTAGGCCGGTGTTTGCATGAAACTGATCAAAGATCACATTTTTAACTGAACTGTTTGCGGTTGGATAAATTAAAGCTCTTAATGAGTCTTAAATTAAGTTTAATTAGTTAAATTAGTTAAGTTTATTGGATCACAAACAGTGTTTAAATTAAAAACCAGAATAAAATAATTCAGTTATAATCTGAATTAAACATTTTAGTTTAGCAGATTTTATTTTAAACGTTTTATTTCTTTAATCTGGAAAACAAACTTGGTCCTCCTGCAGGAACCGGAGGTCCGAACCAGTTCTGGTGTGAGTTTGTATTTCTGAGTCTGGAGGCGTTAAAGTTCTGCTCCAGAGTCCGGTCCGACAGCCCAGGATAACGTCCCATATTCTTCCTGCAGGTCCGGTCACAGGAAGTCCAGCCGGGCCCGTCCGGACCAGCGGGACCTCAGTGAGACCCTGGCTGCCACCCAGGGCCTGGCCAACATGATCAGCGAGGCTCAGAGACTCTTCCAGGTAACCTTTGACCTCCTCAGGTCCAAAACCAGGAGACATTCAGGAACAGAACCTTCTCTGCAGCTCCCAGAGTTCTGGCCCAGTCAGAGTCCAAACGGTGCAGGACCCACAGAAGAGGCGCGGTCCAGTCAGGATGGAGGTGACGAGGACAGACGGAACCGGCTGCAGCTGAGCACCCAGCAGCTCCTGAAGGAGGCCCAGGAGGAGGACTGGGAAGACCACCTGGGTCCAGGGCCTGTGGAGCTGGCCTTTAAGAAGGTGAGCACACGAGGGGTTCTGACCCGGTTTGCAGCACAGGTCAGTTTCCTGATGAGGAGCAGAGGGACAGAATGATGAGTCTGTTTGTCCCCAGGTGGACGGCTGTCCTCTGGGAACATGGCGAGGCTCCGTGGACGTGGACGCTCCTCAGCAGGAGCTGCTCCTCCGGCTGCTGAGGGAGCAGCGTCTGTGGGAGGAGAACCTGCGGCACGCCGCCGTCCTCCACACCCTGTCCGAGGACACCGAGGTGTACCGCTGCGTCCTCCAGGGCCAGGGCTCGCAGCCCCCCCAGGACCACCTGCTGCTCAGGTACCGAGGACGATGCCGGACGTCCCTGAGCTCGTCCTGTCCTCCAGAACCGGGCCGCAGCGCTCACACATAAATACTTTGACTCTTGTCCCCCTGACCAGAACCTGGCAGCCGAACCCGTCTTCTGGACCGCTGTACCTGTCCTCCGTATCCACGGAGCACCCCGAGGTTCAGGTGGAGGGGGTCCGGGTTCACGTCCACGCCTGCCTCTACCTGCTGGAGCCCACAGGAACCACCAAGACCCGACTGACGCACCTCTGTAGAACCGATTCCAGGTCAGAACTTCAAACCAGGTTTCAATAAAACGGATCAGCAGCGAAGTAATAACCTGTTAATAATATTATTAACAAGTTATTATCATAATAACCTGTTAATAATAATATTAACAGGTTATTATCATGATAATAACCTGTTAATATTATTATTAACAGGTTATTATCATGATAATAACTTGTTAATAATATTATTAACAGGTTATTATCATGATGATAACCTGTTAATAATATTATTAACAGGTTATTATCATGACAACAACAAAACCATAATGAACTAATTTTTACGATACAGAAGTCTTGAAGTCTTGGTCGTGGACCAGGGTCAGCTGCCACACCAGAGTTTATTCAGTCGACTTTGATCATGAGATGTTTTGTTTAACGCACATTATTTAGCCACTTCTTTTTTGTAAACATAAAAAAAATCTAATGTTTTGCCTCAAGAGCTGGAGTCAGTTCCAGTTTTAGTTTAGATTAAAAAACATCTTACCTGCTGTAGTTGTCTGGTCTGAACGGGACAAAGTTCTTCCAGCAGGAAGTGCTACAGCGAGCTGCTGTAAATCTAAAAAAGTTTCGTCTTCTGGACGAGTTCAAACGATTGTAGAAACATTTCGAAAGACTTCTCCAGTCTGAGGAGCTGTGACGAGGTGCTTCTTATAAGACTAAGCTGAATACAGCGCCTCGTCCAGAGGACCCGACTTCTTCTACCTGGATTATGGAGCTCAGAACTTTTTGAGCTGCTGTCCAGTTCATAAAATGTTTGCAGCCATTAACATTTATCTACAGCAGGTAAGATACTGACCATTCTGATTAGACTGGAACAGTTCTGGACCCAGAGGGTCCAGTACTGACTCGTCTGGTCATATTAGACGTGTTGCAGCCTTGGTTCTGATTCAAGGAGTTTACCAGACCGGACCAAGTTCTGTGAGAAAGTCTTGATCCAGTCCTGTAAATATCTCAAACTGGTTTTGATCCAAAGTTCTTCCACTCAGTTAAACTAAAAGGTTTTAAGAACCATTTCTCTGAAAATGAGTGGAACATCACAGAAAGACCGTCAGAACCCCTGAAGTACCACGGGCCAGAACCACTTTATAAGAGGATCTGGCTGCTTGGGGGTTTAAGAAGAGATTTGGATCAGAACTTCTGTTCAAACATCAGAGCTCCACATATCTGCAGTTTGTTCTCAGGTGTGTTTGACCCTTTTAACCCGGTTCTGGTCCATTTCAGGGGTCGGTCTCAGGACTGGTACAGCAGAGTGAGTGGACACCTTCTGGCCTCCGGTCTGTTGGCGATCAGAGATTCCTTCAGAACCGACTCCAAAGAAACCAAAGTCTGAGAAGAAAAAACACCAACCAGAACTCTTCCATGGAGGCCGAGAGGAACCAGAGGAGAAGGACCGGGTCACAGAGGGGAACCGGACCAGAACTTCAGAGGAGAAGGACCGGGCCACAGAGGGGAACCGGGCCACAGAGGGGAACCGGACCAGAACTTCAGAGGAGAGACCGGGTCACAGAAACTCTGAAAGAAGTCAAGTCAACTTTATTTATAGAGCACATTTAAAACAGAACCTGTTAACAAAGTGCTCAACAACAACAACAACAACAACAACAATCAATGGGAGTAAAATTAAAAAGAAACAGGAAGGACGTCGAGTCTGCGGCGAACGAAAGGAGCAGCTGAAAGAAAAACAGAACTTTACAAAATGTCGCCGCTCTTTGATGTATAATTACTGTGACGCTGGGCGAGCGTGTAACATTACCCTCATGTTTAAATGACTAATTATGAGTTATTCATGTCTAAATACTGAAGCGTTGCAGTTAATAAATTACCACTCCGGGTCCGTTTGTTACACAATATTTGTTTCAATTACATATAAATGTGTGTATTTGTACTGTCTACCTCTGGCTAACTGCAGGATCTTTGTACAAACCTAAAAATAAAATTTAATCCAGAAATTTATCTGCCAGCTTTCTGAAAACGTGTGAATTTTTATTTTTGTGCCAAACTGTAAATTAAAACGTTACATTCTGAAGCCAGATTATTAATCTCAGAGGAAACCACGACGAGGAGATTAAAGTCACAGGCTGTTCCTCTGAAAGGCAGACATTTACAGCCCGAGGTCAAAGGTCAAACACTGAGTGTGACTTACAGAAAATGTTTTTTTTAAACGGGTCGGTCCTGTTGCTCAGAGTCCGTCAGAAGAACCAGGACCAGGTCCAACAAGCTGCTGCCTCCTAAAGGAGAAGATTAAAAAAAACAACTTTACAAAAAAATCAACAAAGTCCATGCTCAATAATCCAGGTGTACAATCCAACGACTTTCAGTCGGGTCATCTGGACAGTTTCTGTTTTTGTGCTGAAACGTTTCACCTTCCATCCAGAAGGCTTCATCAGTCGAGGAAACACAAAACTTCTCAGTGCCGTGAGTCGAGGGCCCTCTAGTGGCTCAAAATGTTAGTGTTCAATATTTTCCAAGTCGGAACGAAATCGTTTTATCAAAAACTGATAAATGTGGAAAAATCTAAATAAATCGCAGGGCATGCTAAGAACGTTTAGCTTCCTTTAATTTAAAATTAACCCCTTTGATAAGTTTTTACCATTAATCTGAATTTCAACACTAGAATTTATTTTTAAGTCAATTTTAGGAAAATTTATTCTGAGCCAAATGTTGAGCAAGTTTTTTTTTAGTATAAATATTAATTTCACTGCAGATACAGAAAATATTTTACTTCACGTAAACAAACTTTATTTTGAGCTTTCTTTGGGGGGGGGGGGGGGTATTTTAAAATGTATTCCTCATTAAATCCAGTGGTTTACTGACCATGTCTCAGTAATGTGGTACTGGTACCGGCCCAAATACTTGTACTCATAAAAACACCTCGATGCAGCCGACTGTTCTCAACAAGGAAACGTGTCGCTGAAGTTGTGTAATGTTTAGGTACTAGTCCATTAAACTGTATCAGAAAGTACCCAAACTGCAGTAGTTATACTTCGTCTGGTACTGGGACCCCCTAGTCGACACGTCACAACACGTGAGAAAACATCTATACAGTCTAGATCTATGGCAGAAACAGGTGAGTAAAGAAACGCTTGCGTTGTCTCACCTGGACGTCCCGAGTTCCTTCAGGAGTTTCTTCCTCGTCTTCATCAGCTGGGAGCAGCAGCCCTCGGCCGGTGCTTCTGGATCAGGTTCTGGTGCCGCCTGAGATGATCCGTGAAGTTCTGGGAGAGGAGAGACTTCATGGGTTTCAGACCGTCTAAACTTTAAAACAAGAACTCGCTGAACTTGTGAATGTGAGGAGCGGCCCGGCTGACGGGTCGAGTGAACAGCAACGGACTCGGAGCGGTTCTGAGACTTTTAGATGAAAGAAGTTCGTCAGTAGAGTTCAGATAATGAAACTTCTCAGAGTCACGGAGCAGAAGAACCTCGACGCAAACACGACTTCTGTGTTCGGACTTCATGGGATTAAATAACTCGGACCTTTTAACTGTTGAAGGTTGTGGAACCAGAACCAGTCCAACAGAACCAGATCTGAACTGTATTTGCAAAAACCACAGATGACGGGTCAGGCGTGGTTGGCTGGTAGGACTCTGGAGACGGTGAGTGGTACCAGCGGACCAGGCCGGCCGCGATCCTGGCTGTTGCTGAGGAAACGGCTCGGTTAGTTCGGTGAGGCCTTGGAAAGACTCGACCTCGAGGAGATCCTGGCCAACATCAGGAGGATGAGGCAGAGAAAGCTGCAGGTTAGTGGTTGACATCAGATGCAGGTGGAAGGAAAACTTCTCAGACCTTCTCATTCCCTCCAAGTCTTCCATGGAGGAAGATGAGTCAGAGCGTCTGTAACCAGGGCTGAGGTTTAGATCATCATTAGTTAAACTACATATATTTTATTTCTATACACCTAGCTGTTTTACACTACTGTTGTTCAAATTAACATGAATTATACGACGTTATTGTAAATATATTATTGAGGGTGAGGAAACGCCTCAGGAATGGAGAAGAAGTGTGCTGGTGCCCATTGAGTTAAGTTCATGAGCCACACGATGAAGATCTGGGAGAGAGTTGTGGAAGCAAGACTTAGACGAGAGGGGACTGTTGGTGAGCAGCAGGATGGGTTCATGCTGAGAAAGAGCACCTCAGATCCATCTTTGCTTTGAGGATGATGATGGAGAAGAACAGAGAGAGTCAGAAAGAACTCCATTGTGTCTTTGTGGATTTAGAAAAATCATCTGACAATAAGAAGCAGGTAAATATAATGGATGGATGACATTGATAAGTGAGACTCCACTTGGCTCTTGTCTTAGCCCAGCTGGATCTGTGTCGCAAATTATTAATAATATATCTTCTTCTTCTTCTTTCGGCTTTTCCGTCTTCAGGGGTCGCCACAGCAAGTCATCCTCCTCCACCTCACTCTGTCCTCACTCCAACTACCTCCATGTCCTCTCTAACTGCATCCATGTATCTCCTCTTTGTCTTTTTCCTGCAGCTGCATTTCTAACATCCTTCTACCAAGATACCCACTGTCCCTCCTCTGGACATGTCCAAACCACTGTCCCTCCTCTGGACATGTTCAAACCACTGTCCCTCCTCTGGACATGTTCAAACCACTGTCCCTCCTCTGGACATGTCCAAACCATCTCAGTGTGTCTTCTCTAATTTATCTCCCAGTTATTCAACCTGTGCTGTACCTCTGCATCTTCATTTCTGACACTTCCAGTTCTGTCTCCTGTCTTTTTGTTCATGTCTCTGTCTCCTGTCTTTTTGTCCATGTCTCTGTCTCCAGACCATGCAGCATAGCTGGTCTCACCACTGTCTTGTAAACTTTTCCTTTGGTCTTTGCTGACACCTTTTTGTCTCAAATCACTCCTGAAACTTTTCTCCATCACTCCATCCTGCCTGGACTCTCTTCTTCACCTCTTCACCACACTCCCCATTTTCCTGGACAGTGGACCCCAAGTCCTTGAAGTCCTGCTCCTTTGTGACCTCTGCTCCTTGTAGCCTCACTGTTCCACCTCCTCCCTCTCATTCACACACATGGACTCTGTCTTACTACGGCTGACTTTCATTCCTCTTCTTTCAAGTACATACCTCCACCTCTCCAAGTTCTCTTCCACCTGTTCCCTGTTCTCTCCACAGATCACAATGTCATCTACAAACATCATCGTCCAAGGGGATTCCTGCCTGACCTCATCTGTTAGTCGGTCCATCACCAGAGCAAACAAGAAGGGGCTCAGAGCCGATCCTTGATGGACTCCCACCTCCACCTTGAAGCTATCCATCACTCCTACAGCACATCTTACCACTGTCCTGCTGTCTTCATACATGTCCTGTACCAGTCTAACACACTTTTCTGCCCCTCCAGATTTCCTCATGTAACACCACACCTCCTCCCTCAGCACTCTGTTAGAGTCCTCAGGGTCACTGGTGCCCATGTCCAGCAGTCACTGTGTGAGAGGCGGGGGACACCCTGGACAGGTCTCAGTCCATCACAGGGACACAGACACAAACAAGACAAACAACCCTGATGCATGCTCAATAATCCAGGTAGAAAAATCCAAAAAGTTCAATCTAGTCCTCTGGACATTCAAAAAAATAAAAACAAAACAAAGCAAAAAAAAATCTAGAAACGTTTCGTCTCTCATCCAAGAGACTTCTTCAGTCTGAGGTGCTGTTTTCAGCTCAGTCTCTTAAATAGCACCTTCTCAG